AGCCATTGTTAGTTTCTGATTAAGTATCAAAAGTTTTTCCCACTTAGCCAATTCCACATTGCAACCGAAATTTTTTGCTCAGGTGACCATCGTTTCTTTCTCCTCTAGCTTGTATTCCAACAAAAATCTATACAAGACTTTAATCAGCCTGTTTTCTGTTTGTATCAAAAGTTTATCTAATGTTGTGTCTTTGGCAATACCTTCCTTCTTTGAGTTGGAAGATTTCTGATCCCTGGCTTAGAACAACACCGCTCAATGTTATTTTGTCATGTTCAGCCTGGTCCCTTCCAGACTGAGAAACTCAGTCCCATTCTTCCCTCCCAGGTGGTCCCGGTTGAAGGGCAAGAGAACGGCCAAGGGGAGGAAGAGGAAGAGGAAGAGGAAGAAGAGGAGGAGAAGGTCCACGAGGAAGAACAGCCAGAGTCGGCGCCCGTTATCGCTGTAGAGACGGTGGTTCTGCCTCCCCCTGTAGAGCATGAAGTCAAAAAAGGTATCTCGGGGGACGATCAGCAGAAGAGGGGAAGCGATTGACCCTCCCCCGACAGGTAAGACTCACCTATGGACTTCTGTCTCTCTTGGTTCCCGCAGTCACACTGAGCGACACCCTCACCCGGCGGTCCATCAGCCAGCAACGTTCCGGAGTCTCCATCACCATCGATGACCCCGTCCGCACGGCCCAGGTCCCCTCCCCACCACGGGGCAAGATCAGCTGTATCGTTCACATCTGCAACCTGGTGAGTATTAGAGGGGGGGGGCGCTGTAACCATTTGGGGTTTTTTGTGGGGGAGGCATCGGGTGGTGCAGTGGTTAGAGTGTGGTACTGCAGGCTACTTCTGCTGCCTGCAATTTGGCAGTTTGAATCTCACCAGGTTAACTCAGCCTTTCATCCTTCTGAGGTGGGTAAACTGAGGACCCAGATTGTTGGGGGCAAGACGGCTTAGAGAGGGCTGCAAAACAGTATATACACCTTGTTTCCCCGAAAATGAAACCGAGTCTTAATATTATTTTTTCTCTCCAAAAGATGCATTAGTGCTTATTTTCTGGTTAGGGCTTATTTTAGGAGAAATACAATATTAATTGCGTCTGCCTGGCTCAGGGATCTGCAACCTTAAACACTCAAAAGAGCCATTTAGATCGGTTTTCCACAGGAAAGAAAACACCGGGAGCCACAAAACCCTTCTGTTGCCTGACTACCGTATTTTTCGGAGTATAAGACGCACCGGAGTATAAGACACACATGAAGGTTTTGAAGAGAGAAATTTAAAAAAAGGTTTTGCACTCTGCAAACCTCTCAAAAACAGCCAATTTTTCGTGAAAATGAGCCCATTCCACCCTCCCCCCCCCCCCAAAGGCATGAATAACCTTTAGGGGGCTTGCAGAGTGCTCCTGGGTGGATGTGGGCCCTAAA